CACTGAATTCATCTTCAATGGTTAAAAAATATCATTCTGACTATGAGAATTGAAGAGTTCAAAATTCATTCGTGAATACATCCTGGTCGCCCTATTTATATATAAATTTATAATTGATTGTAAGTTATTATGAAAATACTAATAATTGATAGTGAGATCCAAAATTTCGTGAATTTTATCCGATTTGAAACTTGTCAGCTGAATATACTTTCATCCAATTATGATATATCAACATTGAAAATTATCTTTTTGTAAGCAATGATGGATAGTGGCTAGCAGTGGAATCCAGGACGCGCGTTTCGTCCTATTTTGGGACTCGTCAGCTGGATGTACCTGCGTCTGAGTTGATGTTCACTCTGGGACTCGGATCCAGTACCATTCGCTTCAAATGCCATCGCGTTATCCATTTAGCTATTGAGTCCTGATAGCCACTTGTTTGTGCAATGGGGTAAATTTGAATTCACTTGGTATTATTTGGCTTGTATCTTCCCATTGAGGTTTAAGACTGCGATTGATCAGTGTGTTATCGGCATATGTGCATACTGTTCGTACGCCGCGTCCTGGATTCCACTGCTAGCCACTATCCATGATTGCTTACTAAATACTTGTGAATTAAGGCAATATCGAGGCATACGCACAGTATGTATATATGCCAATAACAGACTGATCAATTGCAGTCTTAAACCTCAATGGGAAGATACAAGCCAAATAATACCAAGTGAATAGAAAATTATCACTTTAAAAGCTAGTGAATTATTTCACAAATGAGTTGTATGGGTAAGGAATTACGAATAGGATGAAATCCACTTTCTGAATTTAAGCCCTTGCTACAACCTGAAAATATATATGTTAAACTTTAAATTGGACATACTATCAAGACATCAGATTAAGGATCTTATATATCAGTACATATAAATTAAATCCAGTCTTAAATATCAACAATAAGGTAACATAAACTCTAACAAAATTTAAATAAATTTCACAATTGATTGATTACTGATTCAATATATGTGTAAGCGTTCGCGCGCGAAACCAGTAGGTCCTGGGTTCGAGTCTCGCAGGGGACGAGTTCGTGGATGCGCACTGCTGAGGAGTCCCACAATAGGACGAAATGACCGTCAAGTGCTTCCAGGTTTTCCATGGTGATCTAACTTCAATTAACTCATGATCTTAACCATTGAAATTACTATAATATCCACAAAACCCATCAAATATATGTCTAGTCCTTTAACACTTTTCTAATTTATCAATCCAATTATAATGTAACCAATAATTTAATGGATTTGACATTGTGTGTACAATGTTAAAATACTAGATAGTTGAAGGTAGTTGATAGGATATCACAACTGATGTCGTTTTTAAAGTTAGTTGACACTCATCTACAAAACGTACCTACAATCTCTAAAGGAATTGATGTTTCAGAAAACTAGGAATTACCTCCGAATAATTAAGATAATAATAATTTTTCTAAACAAGGATTAGTTATGATGAAAGTGTGAATGAATTGATTTTAAGACAGAAGAATATAATTCTTATGGAATTTACGTAGGTATCATGTCATTTGTAATAAAAATAGTAACTAGAAACAGTGTTAATTCTATTGATAAATATGTAAACAACTATGAATTACAGTTGTTTAATGTAAATTGAAATGAAAACAGAAAATGCATATGACGTCAGAATTTGCAAAATAAAATTGTTACCAGTTATACAATAATTAGGTATGTTTATGTATTTTGTGCTAATAGATATCAGTGCAATCTAGAATGTACGCTTCATCTTATTTGAAACTAACCATTTGGATGTATCCGAATATCATTGTTTCTATTTCCACAAAGACTTGACTTACTTACTTACTCCTTTTACTCCTAATGGAGCATAGGCCACCGACCAGCGTTCTCCAACCTACTCTGTCCTGGGCCTTCTTTCTCAGTTCTATCCAATTTTTGTTCATTTTCCTCATGTCTATCTCCATTTCTCAGCGTAATGTGTACTTTGGTCTTCTTCTTCTTCCTCTTCTTTGGCACTGAGGTTTTCAAGTGAGGGCTTGCCTTGTGACGCGGTTGGGTGCTTTCCTCAATGTGTGTCCTATCCACTTCCAGAGCTTCTTTCGAATTTCTTCCTCCGCTCGGATCTTGTTTGTTCTCTCTCACAGTAGGTTGTGGCTGGTAGTGTCTGACCAACGGACCCGAAGTATTTTGTGCAGACAACTGTTAACAAACACTTGTATCTTCTGGATGATCGCTTTCGTAGTTCTCAAAGATTCCACCCCATACAGTAGAACTCTCTTGACATTTGTTTTGAAAATTCCAACCATGGTGTTGGTTGACAATTGTTTTGAGTTCCAATTGTAGATATGCTGCTCTTACTTTGCCGATCCGTGCCTTCACTCCTGCATCAGATTCACCTTGTTTATCAATGATGCTGCCCAGATATGTAAAGGTTTTTCTATACTCCAAATCTGCTCCATCAATTGTGATTGGATTGGTGCATGCTGTGTTGTATCGTAGAATCTTGCTTTTCCCTTTGTGTATATTGAGACCTACTGCTGCTGTTACACTGGTCGTCTTCTCCTGTATTTGTTGTTGCGTATGCTATAGAAGAGCTAGATCATCTGTGATGTCTAGGCCATCCAGCTGTATCCTAGCTGTCCACTGTATCCCGTGTTTCCCCCAGATGTTGATGTTTTCGTAATCCAGTCGATCACTAGTAGAAAGAGAAGGGTTGAAAGTAAGCAACCTTGACTGACACTGGTCTTTACTTAAAACGAGTCTGTGAGCTGTCCTCCATGAATGATTTTGCAATTTGATCCATCATAAGAATTCCGTATGATATTGACAATCTTCTCAGGTACGCCGTAGTGTAGAAAAAGCCTCCATAGTGTTATCCTGTCCAAGCTAAAAAAGAAAACGCTAGCCAGAGAAAATAAGTCGAATAAAAACTTGAACCCAATAAAAATTACTTCATGTTTCACTGTTATTTAATGAATACGAAGTGCACATCTAAGATGTTCACTTCTAACCAAATCTGTAAACATGGATAACATTGAGAACACATTCTGGAAATCTTTTAAATTAACATGGACTGATTCAAGATTACGAATATTATAATTAATATTATTTAAATGATTTCGGTCATAGTGAGTAAAAACTAATTTTAACTAATTAAATCTTACATTCAGGTGTTGATTTTCTCAATGAGACTTGGACACAGTATCTAGCGCTTCAAACTCTAACGGGTCAACCATCAAGTTATAGAGTTCAGTTTATCACTGACTTCTTTAACTGATATAAAGTTATTTACAAAAGATTATATTATCGTGTTGTTGGAATTCAAAATCTTATTTGATCAGTCTCAGTTGGTATATATTTATATATACCCTCCCTTAATAGATTCTTCGAAAATATCATAAACATTGGACAATTTATTGGCCACATGGGCCCAGTAACTGTAGCGATTGTTGCTTGGTTCAAGTTTCATCATGAATATTAACATTAGAATGTCGTCAAATCCAGACGATCAGGACTAAATACGATAAAATAAGTGTTCTGGATAGTATGACTAATAACAGAGTAAAAATATAATGGTAACAAGAGTATGTTAAGTTTAATGTAACACAAATAATTCGATATTCAGTACTATGAATGTGGTATGTGCTACTGATGTCGATAGATATAAGTAGTATATATAATCATTCGAAAGTGAAATGCCTGAAGGCAGAAGATTAAGACGATCAAAAAAGAGAACGAGAACAGAGAATGATTGATGTGGAAACGGAGGAATAATGAAGTCTAAAACGATTGACTAATATTTTGCAAATGAAAAATTCATTGTATAGTTTTTAGATTTATTTAAGATATTCGGTAATATTGTGTTAAAATACTGTTATATCTTGTGACTGTAGATTAGAGCACAGCATATTATCGATCGGACCAAAGACGCTTAAAACACGTGAGAACAACCTAGAGTCCTGATTGGTCCTGCCTCCCGCCTAGCCCAACCAGTTAAGTTCAGAACGCCAATCTCAGCCTCTGTAATATGAATCGTTATATTTCAAACATACCGAGTTTATATACCAATCAAACAGACCACAACGTACCAATAAAATATGAAACAACATTTGTACAAGAAATAGCCAGATGTGGATGTGAATGAGGGAGGTAGTAATCAATATACTGGGTATAACTCAAGAATGGTAAAATGTATATTAATGGTTCATAGGTCAAAATAAAGCTTATAGTAAGAAGAACACGAATGTAAATAGCTTAGTTATTTAATAATTATACAATAGAAATATACGTTTAGTATTGGTTCATAAAGGATCCCAAAGTTATCATTCATTATGTTTCTCGGGTCCCAACAAATACATTTGGTTATCCCTACCTGTATTCTTGTTCACTACATAAGTACCCTCAATCCATTATAATTTTATATATTCTGACAATTTATTTTACTCCCCCCTACCATCTTTTCTTTCCATCAATTTGTAAATCTCATTTCACAAGTTGAAATCATGAATCTATTGAAGCTAGACCACCATGGAAAACCTGGAAGCACTGGACGGCCGTTTCGTCCTGGTATGGGACTCCTCAGCAGTGAGCATCCACGACCCCTCACCTCGCGGGATTCGAACCCAGGACCTGCTAGGTTCGCGCGTGAGCACTTAACCATTAGACCACTGAGCCGGCATCCAATCGTGTTAATGTCTAACTTCAACTAATCCACGAAGTTGCGCCACCGTACACCATTGTCTTCAGTGAGTTCCTATCACACAACAGACTTGGTTGAACTCCACTGGTAACGACTTCTCACTAGAACTCCAGGAGTGTCTCCTGAAGTCAGTCACTAGTGAGCAGGTGATTATTATTATCAGAATGGGTTTTGTGGAGATTTTTAGAAATTTCACAAGTTGAAATCATGAGTCAATTGAAGCTAGACCACCTCATTTACCAAATAATTATTCTTTTTTTTTCTTTCACCCTCTCTCTCTCTTTCTCTAGATTATCGAAAAAAATTCCAATCAATTAAGTGTTAAAGAGAATAATGTTGTTTTACGCGAAAAACCTACAAAACATAAAGCTCAGTGTTGTCATCATTAAATCGATCATTTTTATTCCAAAGAAGAAAAAAAAGAAAAAAATTATCGATTCAAAAAAAAAGAAAAAAACACATTTTTTTTGGTTGAAACAATAAACATGCTATTTGTAAATGTTATGTAATACGAATCCACATTGAAACAATGTTCAATGATCAGTGATATTGAAACTATTGATCATTTAATACATTATATGTAGATGATAATTTAAACACATAAGAAATAGTAAACATTCACTTGGTGATATTGTATTCTTGTATCAATTTTTATGTTATAAAGTTTTTGATTTAAGAGAATATCGAAGCAATACACATAGAATGAATAATATGTCAATAAGAGATTGAAACAAATAGTCCCTTTGATAAATTTCTATAATGATAATAGAAGACGAAGATTATCAGAACTATGTGATGATAGATTAGCGCAATACATTTCGAACAATCTGATCACACGTAATACACTTGTTTAGAACATTGATATATAAAAATAAAAGGTCAATTAGACTGGGAACGGGGTAAGAGGAGATAAAAATAATGATAATAATGTGAACACAAAGCGAAACCTAATCACTCTGGATAATAAGTCAATATTACCAGGGTAGGTTTAAGGTAAGAACAAACTGTTTTTGAACATACAAAGGGGGTTTGAATTTTTGTATGGCTAAAGCTTCAATAAACCTTAGTATACGCCCTTTTAGACTTTTATACAACACTACAAAAGCTGAATTTAGATCAATCTTGTGACCTGTTTCAATTATATGTTTAGCAATAGAGGATGATGAATGTTTAACCTCTGCTCTTATTGGGTCACTTGATTGTATTTGTTTCTGAAGCCATTTGGGTAGATGTTCACTCACCCTAATGTTGAGATCACGATTGCTCCTCCATATGTATGTGTGACCACACATACATTTAAATTGGTAAACGCAATGGGATGTGACGCAATCGTTTCCATGTACTTTAGGTTTTGAATGAAGCATGCACCTTGTTCTTTCTTTGATAATGAGCTTCCCTGCGCAATAGGTTTTATTGATGACTGATTTAAGTCGTTGTTTCAATAAAAGGCTATTTGAATCACCTCTGAATGGTAAGGTGATGTAGACAGGTTTTTTCTCTACCGAGGCTACAGTAGGTCTCGCTGTACCATGGACTTTCCATCTATTTATGAATTTCAGAGGATAGCCATTTTCTATTAATGTTTTATTTAACAACTTAACCTCATCATCAATGGCGTCATTGGTACAAATACGGTCGAGTCTGTTGAAAAGTCACCTTATCAAACCACGTTTATATTGCACAGGGCAATAACTATAATAACTAAGGTATTGACCTGTCCACGTTGGTTTTCTAAAAATAGATCGCTTGACTGAACCATCTTCTCGTCTACTCACATAGTTCTGATAATCTTCGTCTTCTAATATCATTATCGAAATAAGAGATTGATTAATTATAGTCCTATACATTCATGAAAAGTATCAAGTAAACTATACCAAGTGAATTTCCACTTCACTCCTATTGCATAAGCGCGTGATTATCAGGATTCAATGGCTATGTGGATAACGTGATGGCGTTTGAAGTGGACAGTATTAGGTTTGAGTACTGGATTAAACATCAATTGTGAGATGCAGGTACATCCAGCTGACGAGTTCCAAATGGGGTGAAACGCGCATTCTGGATTCCACTGCTAGACATTATCCATCTTTGCTTACAATAATTATGCAGTCAATGAAATACTTTATATAACCGATTATCAATACTTGATAGATAGATAAACCAGTGACCATAACCAGACTTTTAATTGATAATATTGATATAGAATACATGTTACACTTTTCTCTCCGAATTTAATGAAATCCATTCATATTTTTATGATAAACAAAAGTCATTCACTCTGAAATTTTATCTACTTTGAAAGATCAGTTAAAGCGATCTTGTGTAGATGCTTAGATGATGATCACACAACTACTTATTATTTCATGGTTTTTGTTGGCTCTCTATCAGCTGACATTAATTCGATGTGGGGGGGGGGGAAACATTATCTCCACTTTATACAAAATTATGACAGTTTATTTTCGTGTTCTTATTGTATTCTGTCATCTGAACATAGTTTAATTCTGACATTTTCATTGTTGCTTTAAATAGCAACATCTTTGGAGCTTACAATACATACTTGGGTCACAAACACATCCCCTTGTACTATGAATCTTCTCCAGTATAAAGCAAACTATTTTAGTAGACATATGCGTGTATTCATTGTCGATAATTACAGAATAAGGGTTTTCTTGTTTACAGTAATAATACTATCCATACTAATGATATCCTGATAATCTTAAGCTATTAATTTCATCTTAGACATTTTGTCTAAATTTCATGTGAATGATAACATATCCATGTAGATATATGTTAGATAACTATATACTGTTACGTCCACTACTTGATTAACGCAGAAATACGATATACACCTAACAGCACTCGAGTGTATAGAACCTTCAAACAGCCGCATATCAGAAGACAGAAGTGATTATTGAGTAAGAATAAAAAATGTGCAAAATAACATGTGTATTTATAGTAATTAGCGCTGGCTATAACATCATTATAATTCAGTCAATCCTCAAAGCGTCATGCTACAGTCCAATCATAGCATACCACGTGGATATTCCAGTAGGCACTACCAGGCTCTGATTGAATGAAAACTCTACAGCTTAATTAGAGCCTCTTCAGGCATCGTCGTGCTTCTAGGAAGCCATCCCAACAAGTACCTAATTAAATTATCTTGTCATAACCCATAACGGCTTAGATTCGATTTCAAAATATCATTAGAGATGATTGAGAACTTAACCATTTTGACTATAATAGATTTTACTGACGCCGATACAAAGCTTCAAATAAGTTGTATTGCGATATTCAGGATAACTATCGGTAGTACTAATATTAATCGGTGATAAATAATCATGAGAAAGATAGTAGTCTTGGTGAAGTAGTATATTTATTCAAGGAACAAATTACTAATCGATCCATTAAATGCTAAAACTGAGACCAGTAAAGACTGGTTATGTTATCGCATCAAAATTGTTTTTTTTTATGGTGGTATATCAGTCTTATTTGGATAAAAAATTCCAGTATTCATCATCACACATTTTAATGTCATTAAATAATCAAAAATGGACCCCCCATGAGGTTTGAGAATGGAAAGGAGTAGCATAGTGCTTAGTTTGGTGAGTAAAAACAGTGGTCTATCATTCTAATTGAATTACAGGGAGACGTTGAAATAATAAGTTACCAAGGGTGGAAATTATACATAATCACAAAACAAACTTGCGTCAATTATTAACTGGAAAAAGGCGGTTCATGAAGGTCAGGTTAGTTCAAGATGGTATGTGTTTAATTACAATAAAACTGGTCTTTTTAGTTACTTTTGTAACAGATCATCCTAGTGGTTAAATTCATCATGCAAGCTACATGGAGTTCGTTGTGGTCGCCCCTCCCTAATTGTGTTGCGGTATATATATTTTATGAGATACTAAACTGTCTATTATAAATGAAACGACTGACAACTCTCATAATCCTAATAAACGAAAATCTTATGTTTATCAATGACAGTCTTTCTGAATAAGATAAGGATATGTGTGATGAGAACTTGAGTAGGTACAAAATAGATATCCTCTAATACTGTTCCTCGTTTATAACCACTCATCTGCCATCTAACTTTGAGATGAGATATGACCACATGCACATGATATATCTATACTCCAACAAACCTATCAGAGTTAACTTTGTTGATAAGTGTGAAAACTTAACCACCAGACCACTGAGCCGGCCAACATCCAACGGTGTTAATGTCTAACGTAAATTAATCCACGAAATTAGGTGACACATGCACCATTACCATTAGTGAGTTACTATCTCACAACTAACTCGGTTGGTGGATGTGTCGCTCACAATTAACACCGTTAGATGCCTGTCAGATCAGCGGTCTAGTTGGTTAAGCGCCTGGCACGAGACCAGTACGTTCTGGGTTCGAATCCCGCGAGGCGGGGTCGTGGATGTGCACTACTGAGGAGTCCTACAATAGGACGAAACGGACGTCTGGTGCTTTCAGGTTTTCCATGGTGGTCTAGCTTCACCTGACTCATGATCTCAACAACTGAAATTACTAAAATCTCCACAAAACCCCCTTCTGATAGTATTAAAATAACGATTAATAGTCGATATATGAACAAAATCATTTTGACTTATCATTGGTTACAATCAAGTTCAAGATTTAATTGAAACAAACTGTACACAAATCTTTTCAAGGTTATTACATTACTAATAAAAGAAATGAACATGTCAATAACTTCTTAGGAAGATTGTCATTTTCGTATAATTCATACTATCTAGTTATATAATTGTAGTAGTGTGATGTGTACTACTGATATCGGCAAATATAAGTAGTATGTATCAACAATCGAAAGTGAATTACCTGGTGGCAAAAGGTTAAGATGATTAATGAAAAGAGAATGAGAACAGAGAATGATTGGTATGGAAACGAAAGAATAATGAAATCTGAGACAATTGATTGACATTTTGCAAATAGAGTGTTTAATGTATAGTTCTCAGAGTTTATTAAGTGGTTATGGATCTAACTAACTGAAAGTGCCAGTCTTAGACTAAAATGAAAATCATGGGATTTATGAACAAAATGCCGATAATAAAATAAGCAATATTGTTGAGATCACAGTTCGATATAGGTTGAGTAACCAATGAAAAACCTAGAAACATTGGATAGGTTCTTTGTTCTACATTCAAGTTTGAGTATAGGAGATTTGTAATTATTGTTTATCTGAAACACAGTGTTTTCTAAGTATAATTTCAATCAATTCGCTTCCTTTATTGGACTCCTCAGTAGTATCAAACTCTCTTTTTGATAAGTCGTGCAAATTGAATGCTATATTCGTTTCCTTAGCTATTCTGTAACCCCCAAGCTAGAACTATCCAGCGACCTGAACAACGAGAAAGAAGACGCAAAGTATGCGAGATGTACTTTACTCCAAGGTTCATTTTAACACAGAAAATATAGGGTTTTTGTAATATTTTCAAGTGTCCTTGGGTTCGGATCCCGCCGGGTGCGGGATCATGGATGCGCACTGCTGAGGAGTCTCATACTAGGAAAAAACGGCCGTCCAGTGCTTCCAGGTATTCCATGGTGGTCTTGCTTCAATTGATTCATGATTTCAACCAGTGAAATTTCTAAATTCTCCCCAAAACCCTTTCTGATAATTCTTAATTTACATATTACAATTTCCAAATGATGTACTCTGCCTTAAATCTGGCCAATTTTATAGATTATTAATTTGTATTTGTAATTGTAAAATACCTAATGAGAAATTATTGGAAAGAATACTCTTTGTTCATACAATTGTGTTATAATATAATGAGAACTTTAAGAATAGGAAACCCATGAAAATCTTACTACTGTATTTCTACTCTTACTCTTACCTTTTGAATAATTTTGTAGCTATATGGATTTAGTAATTCAGGGGATAATAAGATGAAATGAGAGCATTGGATTCAAATAGTAGTCACAATCCATCTATTATATATAACTAATGATAAAGTAGTTATGTTAGAGGTAATCTGCACAAGATGTATATATCCATTCAAATTCATAGAAAAAAAGTAGTAAAACGACTTCATAGGATGAGTGATTACGTACTTACTTGCCTGTTACCTCTTGAAAAAGAACATGGGTCATCAACTAGAACTTTTTATCAAACCCTGTCCTAAGCAAAACTTTCTAATTGTTTCCAGTTGCTAATCATTCTTTTCATGTCTGATTGATAGAGACAAGTCAGAAGTAATGCTAAACTGATGCTGTACTCAATTTTACCGATATCAACCAACAAGAAGTGAGTCTCTTTAACTTAGAAATATTTCACAACTGAGGTAATGAAATCTGTTAAAACATAGGATTCGTAGTTAGTCTAACAGTTTCTCAAGAAACATTACCAGTTGTACATTGATACCAATGTAGCCAATAATCCCATTTCATTGTGTGCTGAAATATTCACCTTGAAGGTTGTCCCGTCAATCCTTCTCATAACCATGAGGCATTCTAGAAACAATTTCAGATTATATGTTAAATCTTTGCTACTGAATAGGACGAAGAGTTATCGTGAAGAACTCGCGAGGCAAAAACAATATGAGGAATTCATGAACAAAAACCACTATCAAGTTTAACACTGTCACATTACCAACTCAACTATTATTCAGTGAATTACTAACAACGTGATTTGTCAGATAACTCACTGTTAGACAAAGTGAACAGAATCAAAGCTCACTGATTTACATGTTATGTACAATCTACATAGAAGGAAGTCGACATTCGATGTGTAACAATGACACTGTGATTGCCAGTCTGATGAGGACGGAAAGTAATTTTTCTCAATAGTTTCGAACGTTTATACGAAGTATAGAAGTGTATTTCCATTGCCCTTTTCACATAATGTGAGATAAATTTACTCGGTTTTAAATTATATGGCAAAAGTAGGAAGTAGTTCCGTAATCCTCATTGACTCATCCCTACATTATAGTTTGATTATAGAAGATTTGTAATTATTGTTCATCTAAAAGACAGTGTTTCCTAAGTGTAATTTCAATCAATTCGCTTCCTTTATTGGACTCATCAGTACTATCAACCTCGGTGGACTTGTTGTGAAGATAGTACAGATGAGGAATTGAACAGATCAAGGTTGATGACTGTACAGAATATATATCTTAGTAATTTCGTCTGTTTGTCGGACGTCACGAGTAATAATCTCCTATGATAGAGAACAACAAAGAAGCATGCATTTGAGGAGGAAAGTAGGGGAAGAAGATGGAAGTGGATAGGTCAGGCTTCAGGGAGATCGTCAACCTGCATGATAAAGGCAAGAGGAAAATAAGTAGATTAAGTAAAACCTTGTGTTGCGAATCGGTGGCAGCGATTAAAAGAATGAATAGTAATCGGCAAAAGATGGAAAGAAGAGCTCAGTTTAGTTAAAATATATTCATTAAATACTCATAGACAATTAGCAAACGCAATCACCCATTACTATGCCTAGACAAATAGAGAAGGCAAACACATTACTAAATATCATAAAATTACAAACCTTGTCGAAAGGAGTACAGCGTTTTCGTATGTTTTATTATAGTTAAATGGGAGTTTTTGGAGTTTTCAAATTAATATTCGTCATTCGTCACAAAGTGCTGCTTGTCCTATATATATATATATATATATATATATATATATATATATATATATATATATATAAGATTTAGCCAGGTCCTTAACATATTTCTACTACTTACAAGTAGTATTCATTATGCAGCTTAAATGTGGTGCTAGATACGATCGGTTAGTGAACAGTATCTGTACATAGAGTAGAAAATGGTTAGATGTGCTGATGAATGTAGAGCTCAACAAAAAATTTAAGCCATTTTTTTCTATAATCTGAGAAAATAATGACCCAAGTGACAAGAATCTGGTGAGAATTGATTGAAATCTCTTTAATGAGTTATGATAGCAGTAAAACAACATGATACTCATTTGATTATTACTGATACGTGTAGAAAACCACGTACATCAGAAATGACTGAGGATGTAAATGTGCAAACTGAGGAATTTCTAATGTCAGAGAAACTTTTGGAAACACTGCAATCAGGTCAGTCTGCAATCGACAGATACATCGATAAAGATCCAATTTATCAATCTACACAGAAAAGATCAGTTTATATATATATATATAAACTGATCTTTTCTGTCGATTGCAGACTGACCTGATTGCAGTGTTTCCAAAAGTTTCTCTGACATTAGAAATTCCTCAGTTTGCACATTTACATCCTCAGTCATTTCTGATGTACGTGGTTTTCTACACGTATCAGTAATAATCAAATGAGTATCATGTTGTATATATATATATATATATACTAGCCTGAACATATTTATCAGCACTGAAACTCTTCGTACCCGTTACCAATAAATTCGGCCCATGTACCATTAGCCGCATCTTTGTGTGATGTTCCACATTTCCGTACTTTTATAGTATGTGCAGACAGTTTCTGCTCATTAAATTTGCGAAACCATGAGCTTAGTTGTATGTTAAAATACAATATATTGGTGATTGGTTACAAATCAAATGATAGATGTTACCAACATTCAGGATCATCTATGTACGCTAGTTGATTGACGAGCATCACCCATGCATTTTTGCCCTTCAAATCTTTATGACCACCAATTGGAGTTACGCAGAGAACTTCTGTCATAGGTAACCAAAACTATAAGTGACTCCCACTAGATCTCCACATGATGAAGACACAAAGCACACAGCTATGAAAAGCGGATCTAACTGCAAATAGCTTCAAAATCAACTGTAACATTTAGAAATCCCAAACTGAATAAAAGCGAATAAAGAAGACCTAATAATCTTAGTGTTTGCAATTTGATTGAAAGCCTGAACGAATTCAAGTTAAACGGTCATTGGAAACCTGGAAGCATTAGACGGCCGTTTCGACCCATGACTAGACTCATCAGTAGTACACATCACCGACCTTGCAACCGAGAATTGAACCTAAGACCTTCGTTCTAGCGCGCGAATGTTAATGTCTAACTTTAATCAATCTACTTATAATTTGTAACTTGTTACACATAGCAAATTATCATCTATTTGAATGTTGTCCGAATTGATAATAGATTCCTCCAATAGGATACAAAAAAGCCTCAATGATTGCTAGACAGAAACATTAGTCGAAAAGTAGATTTTCCTGACTAAGTTCAGCAGAGCAAAATTCTTATATCGTAAACACTAAAGCCTGAATAGAATACATGAACTATTTTAAATATTTCGATAATTAGGAAATATTTTACCGAATATTCAAAATTATCCGATCCCATATACCCTTGTAGTTTAGAAATAAAATTCATCGTATCTGTGATTAGATACTTCTGGTTTAGGTAAAGCGAGGAAACTGTCCAACTGTAACTTGTAAGTCCTCAAGATATACTACCTCTGAGATACATAGACACATTCACCGCAAACCAGTTATAGTACTGGTATTGTGTTTTCGGTTCTCTGGATTATGATACACAGTTAAAATACATGTAAAATACGCGTTAAGTTTCGATACGAGCTAAATCAACGATAAGAATAACTCTGTGAAAAACAGAAATGATAAGATTGAGTAGAAAAAAGGATGTTAGTGGTAAAGAGTTGTAATATCCTTGAAAGTAAACTGTGTATTTATGTGGAAATCAACGAAATGAGTGAGTCGGTTATAAGCGAAGTAGAGGACGTGAGACATATTTACATCCGTTGAAGTCGCCACACTACATCACAGATGAGATAATGAAGGCATATGTCAGAGTAGAAGTAATAGTAAAAACGATGCACAAAAGATATGGTTTGAAATTAAAGAATTTAATGTACTCCCAGTGCAACTCTTGCAGCTGAACCTCAAGAGGTAGATCGATTTTTCAATAGGGAGAGGTGATAAGGTCTGATTACTTGGTGAGCCTCTGTACACTTTGAATAAGGTTAACCAACAAAGCTTGGTACTCATTTCTTGTCTTCTTACTCGAGTAACGTGTTGGGTTCACATGAAAGAAGGATACATATAAGCATCAGAATCGCATAACCTCCAAATCTAACACGATATCCCGACAGAATAAAAAGTATGACATATCTTTGAAACTTAGGATCTAATAGGGGAGATAATGAATGAGTGAATTTCCGTTGTTAATACCGATTCCGAATCATGTCATTTAACATCTGTGACTATTGTTATGATAATCCCTCGAGCCTTAACCAGATAGTCTGCACCTAATCACCATGGCTCAAATCAACAGTTAATAACTTCATGGATTAGTACCACAGGATGATAACATTAAAAAGGATGTAGTAAATATAATGCTTGTATACCAAATCCGAATCATAATATGTATTCTATGTTGCATCAAATGATTTTTCATACTTCACAAGTATTTCATGAAAAAGGATGGTCTAATTTTTATTATGTTGAACAAAGATAATGACAAAAATGTATGATCAATTTAATTACAAGAAATTACAAGAGATATAACTCAGTAATGTTATATCATAGCATGGCGTTCTCATACGAATAAGCACTTGCTCAATACATTAGATGATGATTGAATATGTATATATAAAAAAACGGTGGAAGAATGAATATACGAATAAGTAAAATCACAGTTATTTAAAAAAAAATTTGCAGTTGATTTCTTTGCATTTTAAAGCAGGATTGATTGGTTTATTGTCGATTATATTTGATCCCAGATTATCTGAATGTATTTCCTAGCGTTCTTGTGAATTTCCCTCTAATATTAACAAGGACATGTTAATGATGAGCTGGGTTGTGTAGATTCAAAGGATACTCCTTGAGGTGGTTGTGACGTTGACGTTGATGACAGGAATTCAGGATCTTGAAGTATCTAGGATTTTAGATTATTCAAATGTGATAGAAATGTCAAGAAATTAACAAATAAACAAAAATTTCATTTTAAACTCACATTAAATGCATAACTTTGAGGAACGTTTTAGTCATATAAACTAGTGAAGTTATAATATTTGTGATGACTGAGGCTAATAAAGAAATGTCTAGCAATCAATTGAAGCCGGGGTGTATCTCTAACAAAAATATAAACATTTCAAGACTGTAATTATCTATAGACAAAACAGATTCTTAATGAATTACATTGGGATATTTAAAACCAAAATAAATGCGAAGAACAATCAAAGTAAAGCCTGAAATGAATGTGTATCGTCCCAGTTTACCACATATCATACATCATCGTCACTACAAACATCATTACAATAGAAATAATCGTATACATTGTATAGGAAGGCTAAACACAAGGGATATAGTGTACAAAAGAAACGAATAAAACTATGACAACACATCATGCTCAAGAATTACATATAAATGAAAAATGAATGCTACTGTGTAACTGTGTTACCCAACGTTTCAAACCATATATCATAATCAGCAAGCTTATAGCTGCAAATACAGCTTAGGCCGACGAGCGCCCTTAAATGCCCTGGTACAGACGAGAATGGGGAGAATCAGCTCTCCTTCTCCAAATGCTCTCATATGGCCACGTGCATACAACCACTGAGAAAGAAGTCCTACTCACTACTTTCTCGAATCAAAGGTGTTGTTTACGAAGTTGAAAGGAGGAAAAGCGAATATCCGGCATTATAACTGGGTTAGTGGACACGGCAAGTTCACCTAGGAAAGTTGGAAAACCCTCATTCCAAACCAATGGTGCACATGGGCTGGGCCCAGTATCCTGAGGGAACAAACGATGTATAAACCAATTGTTGGTCACCGGCCACCACGTGACTGCATCTCCTAACGTTGCTCCACTGTCTTATGGATCAGACCTTTATGTCAAAGGCTCTGTGTGTGGTCTCCTAAGAAAACCACCTGCTTTGGTTTGGGCACCCGAGCAGAACCCCAACTCTCACACAAATCGGATGATTTATGTGGCGCATATCTAGTTGGCGCTTCCTTGTGCCAATGTTTATTTGTTTAAATAAATAAATAAGATCAACGAGCAATAAAATCATGGCCTGATATCATATTTTCAAATCGGTCACACCGAGTTTTGATACACTACTATGCCAGACATGTGTGAAACAGTCTATCTGAAATGTTTTGTTCAACCTTAGAATTGGTCATTTAGTGGTTCAAGTATGCACGAAAACACCAGTGACTAAATGCATATCTTCTAATCTAACAAACCATATTTCATACAAACTTTGCCACAAGTGTCTCAAGTCGTCAAAAGGGGAGAACTTTCTATTTTAATCCCCGACTACTCACAAACGCTAATGAAATTTTTAAGGTAAGTAGAGCAATCAACACGCTCGACCACTCCACTTTCTGTTTCGAGTCACACTAAAGTTTCTAATCCCTTTCGCTTTACTACCAAACGTGTTTTGAAGGATAACGATCATTTTAGTGTCTTCACCAAATGAACTACGTCGTCTGCGTGATCGCAAACACTGAAAGTCGATTTGAATTTTCAAGAAACTAATGCGCTTTCTGGTACACTTTTTAATAACAAACACTGGCATCAAACCTGTGAACAAACAAAGTGAAATGCCGTTTTCAAGTCAAGAAAGACGACTGTGGTTAAGCATCATGTTATAACTTGTCGTTTGAATGCTTATTGTCTTGGCTCTTTTGATGCTACTTTTTGTATCTGGTCATCGCTGATTGTTATGTCGGAAACGCTTATCACTTATACTCGGAACGAAGGACCTTTGCAATTCCCACGACGCGAAAGTAAGAACACAAAGACTTATATAAGTGAAGATTTATTAGCCCCAAAACACTATGACGGCGGCGACCCTAGTCAAAAATGCACTCATTTATATATTGACTGTACACCCATTTTGATTAATAATTAGGATTGAATCACATACTCGGTTATAACAAATCACTTACTGAGCATAGTTCATGTCAGTGGAATACAAGAATATCGCATATTATACAGAATAAAATATCATACGAGAAAAAACAAACAAACGATACATTGAATCAAAACGGAAGTAATGTTAAACAAAACTCATAATTAGTAAATCAATCGAAAATTGATTTTTCTTTACATCATATCATATTGACAAGCATGTCCAAAAATCTGTTGAAGGATGAGTATATATTCTGCATTACTTATTTATTATTTATTTTAACACATGAATATTGGTACAAGGAGGCACCAAATACATATGCGCCACGCAAATCTCATTCGATATGTGTAAGGGCTGTGATATTGCTCGGGTGCTCAAATCGAAGCAGGTGATTTTCTTAGGGGGCCACTCCCCGAGCCTTCGACCTGAAGGTCTGATCCATAAGGCAGTGGAGCATCGTAAGGAGATGCAGTCCCGTGGAAGCCAGTGACCAACAATTGCTTCATACGCCATTTGTTCCCGCAGGATACTAAAGCCGGGGATCCACTCTAACAGTGCCTGTTCCGCCCTCATGCTTAGTGCTACGCCTACACCTGCCAGTCCACGAGAACTAGCCATCGGGTCACCAGATACACGGAGGGTGTATCTCGTTGGCTCTCTGTTTCGCCAAGGCGAGGTTAAGTGAATGACCACACTGGGATCCTGTATGCGTGTTTCGGAGACACAGCATACATCAATGGTACGAGATTCTAGGGTTTTAGCCAAGGAAGCCTGCTGACCGATTTTACATAGGGTGCGTACATTGAAGGCTCCAATGTGTAGTGTGGAGCGAGGTTTCAGTAGACCTAGGACAATGTTTTGAGCACTAGAATCGTTGGCTATGGTGACACTTGAGGGGGAAGCCGAAAAAAGAAGTTTAGAGTTTGAATTCGATGTAGGAGGAATAATAGGAATTGAAGAGGGAGGTTGATTATGAATACAGTGGTCTTGAGTGCTGTTGGAGGTATGAGGGCGGTTATCACTTCCCGGTTGCCCACACCGTGGAAGGGTTCTTCTGGAGGTACCTGAAAAGGAAATCGGATTAGAAGTGGTCTTAGTGACCTGGGAGCGTGACCGCAGTGCCCAATGGACAACTGCTTGAGGTCGGTCACACACGACCTTTTTATGGATAATTTTTGTGTTAGCTCCGTACTTGTTGAGACCTTACCGCCGGAGACTGATATCCGTGGGATAAGGCGAGGTGTATATTTTTATAGTCGACCTTTTCTAACCCCACCCCTCCTTGTGGGAAGGCAGCATCGCTGTCATGCTGGTTGTCTGAAGGAAACGCCTTACTGCTGTCACACCTCTGTACAGTCAGCAGTACGACTTCGCCTTCGGACCTTGGGTTTGTTGCTTTTAGTCTTACCGCTCTTCAACCGACCTTTCTGACGTGGTAGGACCTTGAGGAACAGTTGTTCCAGTCAGTATAGCTCGGTTGCTTCATCACGATAGGCAAGCCCGACCACCACGTCAAGGTAGCAACAACGGTCGGGATATGCACTACACAAGTCACTTGATTTGTGTGTGGGTTGTGATACTACCCGGGTGCCCAAACCGAAGCAGGAGGTTCACTTAAGGGGCCACACACGAATGTCCCAAAACATATAAAGAGATTAATTACGCAACAACTAGTTAGTTTTAACCAGTTGAATTTCTGATGAAATAAGATAAATCACAAACCAACCGAAAATTTAGTACAATAATTGCTAAATACACCGACCAATCAATCGTTTCAATTAATCATTATCTATATACATACTAATGGGTACAAAAATAAGACTTACTTTACGAACAAGTTCTACAAATGCATCACGGACATTCTCACTTGTTTTTGCACTGGTTTCAACAAAGATTGACCCCATACTTCGAGCGAAATCTGAACCTTCTTTTTTTGAAACTATGCGATTATCCTATGGATAGAATATCTCTAAAGATAATTTCAACAAACTAACCAAGTCAATTTTATTGCCAACAAGCATTTTTAAAAGTCGACTACCACAGAATTGTCTGGTTTGTTCTACCCAGTATTTCACCCCGGAAAGACTTTGTGCGGAAGTAACATCGTATACTAGAAATGATGAGGGGAATAAAACTATAGGCTTGTTTTTACCAAAAAGAGCACCATGAGCGTGGCGGTAAAGCGAAGGAGTCAAGTAACTACTGTATCGTTCAACACCAGCTGTATCCTAATAACATGAAAATAAGTGTTCTACAATGTTTATGACATGACGTTTACCCATATATTAAACTGAATCGTTCTTCCGTCTACAACCATTTGATATGGTTTGAAATCGAAACCGATTGTCGCCGCTTCGTTGTGTGTAAATCGGTCATCAACAAATCGACGAATTAAACTATATAAAAGAAAGCAGTTTGCAGAAGCTAAATGATATATATGGAAGAACATACCTTGTCTTCCCCACACCTGAATCTCCTAACAGGATTAATTTAATTTTTATCGATTCTTCACCGGCCATATTTTAAATATCTAAAGGAGTAATAATATTAAATGATAGTATTTGGACTGTTAACCATAATAGAATTCGTCTACGTAAAAAGTAACATGGTTGCAGAGGACTTTCATTAACTTCCAAGGAACATTAGTTTATTCCAGTAAATAAGAGAACCAAATAATTCTAAGTTATGAGTTTCCTTTACACATGGAAGTTAATAATTTTTGTAAAGTAACACAAAGCTGAATTTTATGCAGTGTAGTTGTTATTTTAATACGCTGGTGGACATCCGGTTTCGATTGAGAATAACAGGTTGAAGGAGTGAAACTAGGATCTCGTGCTAGTGTGAGGATTTTTTGATTTACAAACGCACCGAGGTAGATTGGTTGATTAATAAACCTATTGAATAACTTAACCCACTAGTGTCCTAATAACTGTTGACACAACAGTTCACAGAATAGCTGAAAAATATTTGTCCCTAAATTTATAAAAACTCGCCTCTAAATTTGATTAAATAGTTTCACAGTATTTGAGCACCAGGTTGGTGTGAGACATTAATGAGGAAGAATGTATTTGTAAAATCTCAGAGAATGAATTGGTAAATCCAACGTTTCACCTCGTAATCTGGTCCAACGTTTTTCAAGCAATTATAATCAAACATCAAAATTATCAAATATAAAAATAGGTATATGGTCCTCTGGTTAACTATATACTAAATAGGTCATCTAATTAACGTTAACAGTTCTTAAAGTAGGTATTTGCTCTAGTGTGTGAAACGGTGTTAAGATAACAGATTGTATGTATGCGTAAGTGGTATGAGAAGGAATTTCATTCACTATATATTGTCTCTGATCGGTGGATTTTTAAGAAAACTACTATTTTTACACGTGATATGAATCAAACATGTCACAGCATGCAAAAAATGAAGAGAAATAAAGGAATGAATGTTTGTATAATTTTTATTGTTCCAGTTAATTGTTTAGCATATTTAGATAAGACAACTGATTAGAAGCGTTAAACGTAATTGTTGTTATTCAGATAATAAGTATGGTCTAAAATTATTTAAAACAGGAGTGATTTTTAGACACTGATTTTGTAGGTTATTCACGGAACTACGAAATCGAAGTCTGATTATCAGGCTTAGTGTCCACCATATTATTTAGCAAACAGATCTGTTCAATCAGTTCACTGAAAGTTGATGAGCATTCAGACATGGATTTTGGCAACCAAAATCATATTGATCCCAGCAGCTAATGCCCAAAATTTCACAGTATATTCTCATATGATAGCAAGGAGTAAGTCTCACATATGTAATCTTCAGTCAGCTTGTAGGTACTGTACACCCCATAAGAATGAGTGTGCAATCTTGTATAACATCACTGAGCTCCAGTCAAACCTTTGATTTATTTAATACTTCTATACAAGATTTCAGATATGAGTGTTACTGACCCGCAGTCTACTGATGTGATAATTGGTCAATTGCAGAGTTGCATACGTGTGTAAAGCCCTGTGTTGATAACTGGCTGACATTCATAGGTTTAAACGCATTTCCTTACCCTTTTATTTTTACTAACATGATATCAGTGTCAATGCTTTACCTACCCTTAATGTGAATGGTGTTAAGTAATGGGTAACTGGATGCTATGGGAATATATCGGAAAGATTTTAGAATGCTGATGAGGAAGACTAGAAAAATATTAGTGCCTCAGAATGAACGAACCAGCTGCCCAAAAATATATTAGGAGGACTTGTTGTTTTCTCGCTCAGTATCCTTCTAAGTTGAGTGTAACATATTGGTCAATTCAGGTTATCAAATCACGGAGAACATATTTGATGGTATTTGTGGTTCTCTATGATGTAGTCATAGGATGGTAACTTTCAAGAGGAAACAGTGAAAATAACAGTACTTTGCTGCATCTTTAGCTTGTTCACCCTGAATTGCATGATACACTAATGAAGCCATAGCTAATCCAGAAGACATCTTCAGAAAGGAATAAGCGACTGTATACCGTTGGTTGAAAACGAACCAGATTCGCGGAATAGTCTTCTGTTACACTCACCAGTAAACTAGTGTTCATATTATTATCAATTTTCATAGCTTCCAGTTTACATTCATTCTTTATTGTCTGTCTGATACGGAGTTTGAGATTGTAACCACTTACTTCATAACTTAGTGAGCTCTTCTGGGGATAACAGAGTAAACATAAAGTTCGTATAAATAGAAGGTTCTGACCTCTGTCGTTTACACTTGGTTTAAATGTTTAACATTTCAATACTAAAATCTAGAGTAGAACTGCTTATTACAGGCAGAGGGGCATATGAGAAAAAGTAGACTAAAAAATTAAGTGAGTGGACGAGGTTCTTTGAGACACCTAATTAGTATGATAATAAACCTTATTTGGTTAATAAGTTCGCAAATTTGAATTAGAGACGCTTTACTTTTGCGACGGTAGAAGTTTAGTACAAGTAATGGCCTTTGATGAGGAAAGCCTTAAACTCTAACAAATTGTAATTTCTGTTTTGGTAAACGGAGAAAGGTTTCGTCTGGATGTTATCTGTGACAAAGTTTTTAATAAGGATGAAGGTTTTCAACACTGACTTACATTAGGTATGACATAAAAAAGCTAGGGTTAAGGATTTGGAGTTGGGCTGGTTATGAGTTAATGTTGGGGTTAGGGATTAAAGTTACAGTTTTCATAATGAACTGAAGCTAACTATAGCGCAGTGATGTTTTACGCTTTCAGATCATAAAATTACGGCAGCTAGTGCTAAAACTTAGAGACAGAAGATAGAATAGGAGAGTGCCTCTTGGCTTTACACACATTTGAGGCTATGAAATGAATCACACAAGGCACTCCCATGGACAACCTATACCATTTGTACGCATTTCGCGTGATTAGGCTAAGGCACCATGTCGCATTTATATGTGACTGGGTGGAAGGTATATTTATGGATTATTCTTGAAACCAGTTATAAAAATTTTAACTCTGTTTATAACAAGAAGTACGGTATTTCTTAATGAGAAGCCAACGTTTGGTTTTAATCGACTACAATTTTGCCAAGTTTTCCAAAACTCTTTGAAGGTAATAAATGGTTGAGATGATAAAAAGCAAAAAAGGCTCATTGGAACCAAAACTTTTACCAATCTCTACCAAGCATTATTCGGTGTTAACTGCCTGGGAGTCGAAAGATAGTGGAAGTAATCACAACAAGTTCAAAAGACGGGGCCTAGGAATAACCTTGAGATCTAAATAGTTCAAATGGTCCAAATTGTTGTGGACGGAATTGAAGAAGCTGTCGCTTAACGGGCTTCCGTGTCTAGTAATAGTGGGTCACCTAAACCTCCAGGCAGGAACGTCGGTATATTAATGATAATAGAAGTAAAAGAAATTGATAAATCATGCTAAGATATTTTCCCTAGTCCTTAAGAATGGGTCAAGTTTCCTCTTGAAGGACTCCTAGGAAGTCACTTGGATTAGCTCAGCCGGCAGCGAATTCCAGCATTTGACAATCCTTAGGGACTAGAATTAGTGTCTACAGTCCATTCTGCTGTATTGTGTATCCAGTTTTCCGATGTTCCTCCTTAAGTTTGTTGTGTTGAAGCTAAATTTAAGTAGATATTTAAGGGGATTTCCAGAAATATTGAGGATACTGCAAGCTATTAGGTCACCTCTAAGACGCCTGTACTCTAGTGGGTAAGGGTTTAGTGAGTAGAGGTGCTTTTCGTAAGGCTTGAATTTGGGTCCCCGAACTGATTTTGTGGCTCATCGATGGATATGTGGAGATAGACCTGACAACCTTATTTTGTAAATAGTTTTTAATATTATTTGTATTTGTTTTGTCAGTTTTTCACTGTATGTACATTTATCATTAAATGACTGTACGTGTTGTTTTAGTCAATGACCTTGAAGACACTTTCCGTTGTCATTCCAACATAACGTGACATATTCTTTCTGGCTAACAAATACATTACTACTCACACATCCCTCGTTCTGTTTCCATTCGAGATTGAGTTAACTAAGGTCTGAAACAAATATTATTTACATTCATAGATTGAGAAAGTGAATACACCTTATCTTACTTTGGATTACACTACTGGGGAGATCATCGATACGTTTGGAATTACTAAGCATCTATAATTGTGGATTTATTGTACCAGATCAAAGCCGAACACGCATCATTTTGGGTGAACTTAAGTAAAGTCCCATTTTTATTGTATTTGTAACATTTAACTTGTATATATTAATATTACTATTGATTGTTATTAACTTTGTTGATACCTTTTGCTTTTATATATTGTCTGGTCCACCACAGATACGTCCCAGAGTGTTCTTATCCTTCTGGAGTGGTGGAGGAAATACTATGTTTCCGCACTCTAAGTGGGGACGAATGAAACTGTTGAAGATTATGTGGAAAGTTTTTCTGTCAAACTGGTCAAAAATGCGCCTCAGTTTTACCAGTGCAAGGCTTGCTCAGAAGGCATTTTTGTCACAGTTATCATAAGACTTCGAATCGTAGGATACCAGCACTCCTCAACCTTTTTCAACTCGGGGCACTTCTAGAGAGGGGTTTCCCAAGTTGTAACTGTATTCTGCAACATGTCTCGGATGGACTACTTTACACTTTGAAGTGTTAAAGGTAAGTCCGTTCTCGTCTGTCCAACTTTGAAGTCGAGTCAGATCCTCCTGATGTGCTTGTATATCGTCTTGAGTATCTCTCTCGAAAGTTTCACATCGTCAGTAAAAAGTGATAAGTCAGACGATACCTGTTGTGGAAGATCATTTATACAAATCAAGAAAAGAATAGGTCCCATTACTGAACCCTGGGGGACCACACCAGGACATTCCATTGTCTGAGAGAAAGTGAAGTTAACCCTGACCTTAAAAGTTCGATTTTTTATATATGAAGTCAGCCAGTAATTAGAGGTGATTTGATATCCAAACGTCTGAGCTTATTGATAAGACATATATGGTTGACACGATCATAAGCTTTTGAGAAATCAAGGTTAATGACGTCAACCTTCCCCTTACGATCACAGATGCTTGTCCATCTGTTCACCGCGGTCAGCAGATGGGCTATGCAGAAGTGACTCTTCCTGAAACAACGCTGTCCGGGTGAAATGAAGTTTAAGGATAATAAATAGTCGTGTATACCGCCGCTTATCAGGGACTTCATGGTTCTTGAAGGTATAGAGAGAAGAGCCGCCGGTCAGTAGCTTGAAGGTTCGCTGAGTCGACCTCCTTTGAAAATTGGTGTGATGTGAGCCAGCTTCCAAATATCCAGTAGTTTGTCTCGGCTTAGCGAGTGTGAGAACATCACGCTAAGCGACGTTGTCAGCATTGGAGTTGCTTTCTTTAGTATAGCAGAAAGAACCATATGCAGACCAGGAGAAGCGACTTTTCTTAGGTGTCTCAGTTTTCGGTACACCAAGTCAGCGTTCAGGTTCACTTCGAAAAGTCCTGTGCAGTTGCAGATGAAACTGTCATCAATATATTTGTTGTAGGTCGGTTAAAATGTTCGAGAGCACTGTTCAGCCAGATAGTTAGCGGCGTCACTGTGGTTATTGGTCGAACCATTAGGACCTAGCAGTTGCGAAACTCCAGTTTCGGCTTGACAAAGAGACGCTGCATAACGGAATAAGCTTTCCGGATCGGAGACAAATTTATCGATAAGCTTTGTCTGGTACTGAAGTCTGTAGTCTCTTATTGTTTTTGTGCATATGTTCTTTATATGTATGTATTGCCCGTATGCGCCGTTGTTATCAGTTCGTTTGTGTTCCGCACAAAAGTGCCTTTTGTATCTTGGGTTACTTGCAGGTTTTGGAGATGATTTGAGGAACATACTGCCTTGTAGCACATAAGATCGTGTGCGGTATGAAGTCCCAATGAGCATTCATATCAAGTCCAGGGTGAATTCCCAAGTCCGTATGTTGTAGATTTGAAGAATTATGGTCTACTATGATATCAGTACTGCTCTAATAATAAACCTAATCCTCAAATTGCAGACTTGTCATGATGTAACTGCCTAATCTATAGGATCTTACGTGGAAGTCACATCACTGTCTACACTGACTCATCTTATCGTAACATTTACTAAAATGTGATGGGGAACACATTCAGGCCGGAGATAGAACAACATATTTAATATGAGTAACAGCAAATTGTACAGAGCGACCATGTCTGCGAGGTTGAGCCATGTCTTCCGATCAATTCGAACTAATTCAATTCATTGTTCCAGCCTTCTCCATCGTCGAGCTTTTCTCCGAGTTAAATGTTGAATATGTATCTTCACAGTTGTCTCGTGTTCAGCTTTAAGGATTGTGTGGTTAGGGTCCAATGCCACTACTAATACATCGAGAAGCATTTCGCCTAAGCTGGCTAGAAGTTGCGAGAGATGTGTGGTACGGCGTACCCATTCGTGATCTGGTGTGGATGCGTGACCGAGCACCTTCAGCTAGAGTGTGCCCAGTAAAATTAATGGAGTCGGCATCAGTTCCGAAGATCTATAGAACTATTTGTTTACCGCTACAGGAATACCGAGGGACGAAGGTGAGAATGGAGACAAAAAAATCAATAATGCATAATAGTGATATAGAGCACAGCTATTTCAAGAGGTAGACGGTTATCCAAGAATGAACATTCGTTTGTCGAGTCGTCCAAGGTATTCGCATCTCTTTTGAAGGAGTGGCCGGAAAACCATTCCGAACTTTAAGGTGAGGCCACGAGTACATTCTCGGTAAAATTTAGAGAGGGTTTTAAGGTGATTGCGTCACGTTGTTCTCACATAAAGTGAGTAGTCGTATTTGCTATGATTACAACCCCGACATAATTTGAAGTGGTGCTCAAGCTCTCTGTGGTTCTTAGCACGAAATCGAGGTCTAAGTGGAAAATCATGTAGACTTTCATGGAGTATTCATCCTGGTTGTGTTCCATAGAAATGAATTTCCATGTCATAACATCCTGGTACTTGAAGCTCCAACTCATCGTTTCTGGCCTCCCCTCAATTGTCTCATGGATAATTTGATGCCAAAGTGGGTCCTTTAGCTTTCATAGGCTTTTAGATCTTCGTGTCGCTTGCAAAGATTAGTGGTGACCTTATCTAACGGGTTGTTAATAAAGGTTGGGAACGGAAGTCGTCCTGAGATTGCTCCTTGTGAGATTTCAAATGTTAAAGCCCAAAAGCTTGCGTGCTCCATACTTACATTCGTACGAATTATCCTGTTCTCAAAGTAGTTTCGGAGTCAAGATAGAAGTCTAGATGGGAAACTTATATTTTCAACCTTCTATACGATAAGCGAGTGTGGTAAGGTTCCGAAGGCTTGACCTATTCTTAAGGACTAAGAACAACGTCTTATTATGAGCTAACAATTTCTTTTTTTCTAATCTATTATAGTTAATATACCTAGATTCCTGCCAGGAGGTATTGGTGATCCCCTGCTACTAGACAAGGAAGCCTGTTAAGCGAAAGCTTCTTTTGCTCGGTCCACAACCATTTGAACCATTTTAATAATCGAGGAATATCACATGAACCGTAACCTTCTTGTCCCAAAAGGTACTCAAGCTGTCCGATGCTATGAGAAGACTGTATACTGAGGACCTACCTTTCCTTAATACGTATTAGACCTCATTGAAGTTGTTTTTGTTCATTTTTCTGTCTTTTATTTATTAACTAGTATTTTCGTTACCTTTGACAGTATTGGCGTTAATGTGACTGTTCTATAGCAGGCTAAATCTTTCTTACATCATTTTGAAGATTGGAGAGAGCGTAACCTGTTTCCGTTCTTCTAGACGTTGATGTTGCTCTAGCGCGTTCCTGAACAGGTCGTATACTAGTGAACTGTTGGCTTTCGCACGCTGTTTCAGGATCATAAGGCAGACGTTCCTACATGCTAGTGACTTTCCCGAGCATATGATTCCTATTTTTCCTAGTGCCGATCCGGAAGTAAGATGGATATTCATCCGGCCTTTAGGTAGCCGGCAGGCCTCATGAGTGCAAAGACCACCTGGTTTGTAGGTTTATGTTAAGTCATAAATCTGCAGTAGCATTGGCCCCAACCACAAGATACTCAAAGCCGAACATACGATGGCTGAGAAAACCCGTACTAAATAAAAAAGAGGGTCAAATACGGTGGGCGCAGGAACACTTCAGAAGTATGAAATGCCTCAATCACGCAGGTGTAGTCGCTCCACATAACCTCGTGTTGTATCACATTAAAGATGTTACTTTATCTCTATCTCAAGTGTGT